ATCTCTATTCATAAACAACCATCATGTTTATCTCAATTCACTCTCTCTCTCTAGATATAGTTAAGGACCAAATTAGCTGATTCCAACTAACGAAAATTTCATGCAAAATTTATCTCCACATAAGATTTGTGAACCCTTTTGAACATTCACAATTTCGTCGTTACATCTAGCAATTACACCTATATGTGTCAAACATAAAAACCGCCACGTGTCCTCTCTTGGAGAGCGCTGGTCTCTTGTTATATATAGATTATCGTCATAGAAATTTATGAACATTGTTCTAATAATTTTTTTTGGCATTCAAAAACGTCATTAAAACTGTATTCATATGCAAAGAAAATAAAATTTGATGTAGGGCTTCGTAATCAAACTTAACTCCATAAAAATCCATTAATATTGATCGGAATAAAATAAAAAACGAAGCCTTGCTCTATGATTTTGTCTCATTGCCTCTAGATCCCCGGTCCATCAAAAGCGTATTCAAAGATTAATTATGCCAAAAAGATTCACACTAATCTTGAAGCTCCGAGCTTAGCGATTAGCATGGTAGTGTGTGTATGAGACGAAATGAATTTCACATTAAAATTAGAAACACAGAACCCATGTTGACTTGGCCATTTCAAGGGACCAAGAAGCAATTACTCAAAAGATATGTAACTCTCATTTTTCTTCGCATTTTATTAAATTCAACATTTATATTGTATTCTTTAATATGAATTAAAACATTATAATTATCCATATCAATTTTGTATTCATAGTTTTTATTTATTACGAAGACTTCAGTCTTAATAGTGCTCCAAATCGATTGTTTAAGTTGTGGACCATGGAACAACCGACTACAAAATACTTTCAGCACATGTGACATGACGCCAATAACCTTAACTTGATCGAGTAGCATATGGGTCTTGTCAGATCCATTGATTGTCTGTGTGATAAACCGTAAGCATGGTCAAGAGTAAGAAGTATACTTTATTAGACGTATTATTGTTTTGAGTACTTGAGACAAACGACAAAAGTGACTCTTATGATAAATGTTTTGAAAAATGATCTACCGTATTTTTGACTCCGGGAGAAATAACAAACGTGTTTGCTCCTCCAGAGTTTCTTCTATCGACGAGTACTTGTGTCTTACCATTTTAGAAAACTAAGAGAAAGAATGAGTCGTTAATCTCACTCAATAATTCATGTGTCGTAATTCGTAATTTATGCTCTG